CGTTTTAGGGGGGCGTGGCAGAGTCTTAACTTTTATAAAGAATATCTCTTTGGATTTGAGACTTTAGTCTTTGTGACTTTACAGATCTTCTTTATGCACCAAGAGCTTGTAACACTTTAAAGAGAAAGGAAAACTTGAAATCGCATGATATGACCCCTTTAAATACTGTATCAAAAAAATTTCAGCCATTTCCAGAATGCTCCTGTATTTTGTTCTTTTTTTCTTTTTCAGGATCTGACAACAAATTGCATACTTCACAGAAACAAACAGGCTAAGAAGACTGTGTTAAAAACCTTTGAAAATTCAGATATCAAGGTATTTTAATTTTGCATTACTGTAACTTTTACCGTAACATTTCTCTTACTCATAACTCATGTTACTGTCATTATTTTATATAGAAAGAGATGGATCTACAGGTTTTTACTGTAAGCTCCAAGGCATTTTTTGAACATAGGTTAGGCCTGAAACAGGATGAAACAGGTAAAGTTTGAAGTCAGGAAAAGCAAATGTGTTTGCGCAGATTTGATTGTTTACCAGTTGAAACCAAATTAGATACTCATTTTTTATTTATTTTTTTTACATTCTGCAAATGGTCCATAGAAATTCCAAAGCTGCAAGATGTTCTGAAGAAAATGAATGAGAGAATTAACCAGGAACTGGCCAGAAGTTGTGTCATTGATGCAAAGGCAGTTATGTCCTTGATCCAAAGCAAAAGAATGGTAAGAGCCAAAATTATTAACAATCTATATTTTTGTGTTTTTGGCAAGCTGTTAGTAATTATTATTTTGTAATTAAGAAATTATATGTATGTGTTTTAGGTTAAGACAGAGGTCCACAAGGTATTGGAGAGGAATCTAGAGAAGGAACTGGAGAAGCTGGATTGTCAGTTTCACATGCTCCGTTGCTTGCTCTCTCAAAGTCTCTCAAATGGAGTAGAAAAATCAAAGTCGTCATGTCAAGATGATGCAGAAGAGAAAATATCACCTGTGAGTGTGATTCAGTTGTAAAAATGTACTGTTAAAATTGTATTCACCATTTTCTGAGTGTTTTAAATGCCGTTATCTGTTATGTATTAAGTATTTGCCTCAAGGTAACAGGGGATTCCATAAAATCCTTCAAGCATTGTGCAAAAATGGAGGACGCCACAGATCTAAAGGATGGCATACAGTTCTAGATCTAAATGAGTGTTTGACCAAACACATGTATGAAAATATTGATGCAGAGTTCAACTTAATTTTTTCGTAAGTTCTGCACTGTCTTTCCATTCACTAAAATATGCAGATGTGGTTATAAATTTACATCACCTTGTTGAATCTACAAAATGTTAATATAAAGAAAATATATATTAAGTAATATCACCAATGACAAAAAACAGTCATGAATCATCCAGACAACAACACATATTATTAAGAATCAAGCCCACGTAAACTATGAACTGAGTCATTTGTATAAATTTAGATTATACCATGGTCTGTCTGAATACTTGATTCTGATTGGCTGGAAGATGTGTATTAAAACCACTTATCCGTAATCGAGAACTACTTCATCTCTGTGTCTGATTTAAAGTGGGCAGAAATCTATATCTAACGAGCTGTAACTGATGAAAATAACGGTCATTTTGAACTTCCTGGTCAAATATTGTCCTGCAAACATCCACGACAGCTTTAACTTGTCAATGCTGGCAAATGACCATGGCATAAGCAGGATATTGCATGGCTAGGTGTGCATTAAATGCTTCGCTTCAGGTGGTAAACATGTGAAATAGCTTATAACACTTATTTCAGTGGGCAGTTATTTCAAGTCTTAAATGACACCCACCCATTACAAACAAATTGTTAAAATCAGTGGGCTAAAGTTAGGGTAGAAAATGACCTTTTATTTTTAAATGATGAGTTTTTTTTTTTTTTTATCCTACTAATGATTATAAGTGCACATCAGGAAACATTATCAAATTAAAAACGGTGCAGTTCTTGACCCCTTCAAAACAAACTGCTGTTAAATTTACAATACTGTCTACACGGAGTTCTGCGTGTCTTCAATTGAAAATGACAGAATAGGCCTAGGCTAGTCTATTCATGGCAATAGGTTGAATTCTCAAAATCTTTTGTCTTTTGATTTATCTTGTCTCCAGTGTCAATGCCAAAACAGGGATATCAGTGCAAGAACTGATTGATAAGTTCAGTATCATTAACTGTGACACTGCTCAGCCCGCACCTCCCATGCTAAACCACACTGAGGACTTCATCCAAGCACAGGTGAGTGGCCTGTGTGTATGCTATGCATGTGTATTGTGGTAGCTATCCAGTATGAGTAAAATCTGATGAATTGGTTTTTGAGCTGTGAGCTCTGAGCTCATCATGGTAAGTTATACTCTCTCTCGAATAACTGAATAGTACATATACATAAGTTAAAACCCACCTCAGCTGTGCGTATATATTTGTAATAATTCAATGGCCTGTCATCAACTACTCTGTACATGGCATTTTTTTCACATTTTGTTATGAAGCAGCCTTATGTTAAACTGCTTTAAATTACTTTTTTTCCACATCAATCTCCACTCCATTCACCATAATGACAAAGCAAAAACAGAATTGTCACAACTTCGTAAATGTATTCAAAATAAAAAAATGAAATAAGTACATTGCATAAGTATTCATAACCTTAACTAAATATTTAGCTGAAGAACCTTAACAGCCTCAAGTCTTTTTGGGTATGATGCGACAAGCTTTACACATCAG